CAGCCATCTAAATAATAATTATTCTAAAAAGATTCTAGAATTACCGCATTTAATAAAATCTAAGCCGCCATCGATTCTAAGTCTCACCCCAAATTCTGTACACGTTTTTGAAAAAAAAAAATCTTTAAAAGGGGTTCATCAATATCTTAATACTTAAGAAACTTTTTAAAAACTTTTTAGTGAGAAATAATAATTTATTTTACCAGTATTAAAAACTTTCAAATACACAGAGGAGCCTATAATTACTCTACCTGTCGGTATCATGTTTCGAAAAGGATTCGTTACTTCCATTGTCACTGCTGACTTCCGAATGGGTGCCGAAGTTGTCATTTTCACATACATTGCCGTCTTCTGTGCCATCCAATACATTTGTTATGCAACATTCTTTTTAAAAGAATGTATAGTAAAAGAATGTAAAAGAACTATTGAAGACTATTGAACATTTACAAGCAAAAATTAAATCATTTTGCTTACGTCATCGACGTATATTTGTTTCATCCGTGTCAAATTTTAAGTGGCCGCTTTTTTCTGCATATAAAATTACCTGCTTTTTCGTACTTGCGTCATAGTGAACTCGCCGTATTGCTATTACCGATATCTTAGACGTTTAGGTGATTAAAAGAAAGCGTATACAAAAAAAAATTCTAAATACAAGCAGACAACAATGTTTAAGATAGACTGAATACTGGAGATAAATTGCGGAAAGGATGAAAGTCATGGATTAAAGTGGCCAGAATGCAGTATTACAATTTTCCTTTTGAAAGGGGTGGAAACTCAATTTCCTCCATCCAACAAATGCTTGTGCTCCCATGATGCTTAGAATCCTCCAATTCTAAGCATCACCCGATTTTCAATTGCAACAGTTCTGGAAAAATAAAGCGGATTAGATTCGAGTAAATAAAGGGTGTTTTTTTAGAGGTATAGAACTTTAAATTGCAATAAAACAACGTTGTACTATTCGATTGACATGAATTTTTTTTTATTCGAAAGATAATCTTGTGGCATTGCATTTTAAATATGATTTCTGGCATACGACTGCCACGGCTGGCTCGGATGTAGTCCAATCTGGACGTCCAATTTTCGATGACTTTTTCCTACATTTGTGGCCGTATATCGGCAATAACACGGCGAATGTTGTCTTCCAAATGGTCAAGCGCTTGTGGCTTATCCGCATAGACCAATGACTTTACATAGCCCCACAGAAAATAGTCTAGCGGTGTTAAATCACAAGATCTTGGAGGCCAATTCACAGGTCCAAAACGTGAAATTAGGCGGTCACCAAACGTGTCTTTCAATAAATCGATTGTGGCACGAGCTGTGTGACATGTTGCGCCGTCTTGTTGGAACCACAGCTCCTGGACATCATGATTGTTCAATTCAGGAATGAAAAAGTTAGTAATCATGGCTCTATACCGATCACCATTGACTGTAACGTTGTGGCCTTCATCGTTTTTGAAGAAGTACGGACCAATGATTCCAACAGCCTATAAAGCGCACCAAACAGTCAGTTTTTCTGGATGTAACGGTGTTTCGACATACACTTGTGGATTAGCTTCACTCCAAATGCGTCAGTTTTGTTTGTTGACGTAGCCATTCAACCAGAAGTGCGCTTCATCGCTAAACAAAATTCGCTCATGAAAATCGGGAACAACGGCAATCTCGTTTTGGGCCCATTCAACGAATCTACGCCTTGCTTGATGATCGTTTTGATGAATTCCCAAACCAAACTGAGAATAAATCACTTGACAGCTGTTAAATCGGTCGCCATCTTGGAAAGTAATGCCAACTTAAACTTCTATACCTGGAAAAAAAACACTCTGTACGATAGTTTAATGATACAATCAAAAATCTTAAATTGGATAACTAAAAACAAACAGGGTTTCCAGACAGAACTGAAATAAAAACAAGTAATTAAAAAAAAATAAGTCAATTCCTACTAAGGTCATCAAAGAAATTTTTTATTTTAGTTACTTTTAATTAAATAGTGATACAATTAATATAAATATGTATTTACATATGACAGAACCGCATTATTAAGTGACAAAATAGAAAGCGATTTTCCTTGAAATTTTCCATTTTCCTTTCTATATGGAGAGTTGGACTACTTTTGTTTGTTACTCTTTCCTTAATTAAATTTAATTATTCTAATAAAATAGTATAGTAAAAAAGAAATCTCATTCTCAGAAATCAGGCCATCCCAGGTGGGATTCGAACCCACAACCTAGTCATGGCACTACAGAGGCACAACGAGCGATTTTCCTTTCAGTGTATGCTGTTGGACTATTATTTTTGTTTGTTACTATTTATTCATTTTTTAATTTAATGATAGAATTAATATTTGAAAAGCCTGTATCAACAAGTGCCTTCCACTAAAAGTTTAAAAAAATTGTATTTGAACTTGAATATGGATGAAAAGAAAATATTTTATTAACGATTGAAAATTTGAACATATACACTCAGGAACATTGAAAATAGCGACCCAAGAAGAAAGCGTCGGATTGAAATGAAATTTAATACACAGAATGATACAGATGAGAGATACACTTGATCTAAAAAAACAAGACAATTAAACGAACACAGGGTGTGCAACGACACAAATACTGGGCAACTTCGATAGTGCGTTGGACACCTCCAGCTGCAATAAATGCCGCCACACGGTCCGGCATTGAGTTGATTAGACACCTTATGTTGTCCTGAGGCATATGGGTCCACAAATCTTGAACAGCCAACTCTAAATCATGTACAGAGTGACACGATGGCATCTGCCGTTATAGCTGATCCCACACGTGCTCTACAGGTGACAAATCGGGGGAGCGGGTCGGCCATGGAAGAGTATGAAAATGACGTAGGAAGTCTTGAGCAACTATTGTTCTATGCGGACGAGCATTATCTTACTGGAGAATTGCCCCTGGGAGAGACCATTTAGGAAAGATCCTACATGGAGTCAAAGAATATCATCAACGTAACGTTGGCCCATTAAGGTTCCACGCATCACAATTAAAGTGGACCGGCTATCATAGGCAATGGCCCCCCAGACCATTACACCAGCTGTGTGGGCAATGTGACGTAGAACAGTGTGGGGGAATTGTATCGCTCACGAGGGCGCCTCCACACCCGTACACGGTTATCATCTGTCCTCAAAACAAACCGAGATTCATTACTAAACACAACTTTTTGCCAATCTGTGACATTCCACATTGATCTGGCTTGGCACCACTGTAGACGCAGTGGCCGATGTTCCGGTGTTAAAGGGAGTGCACGGAAAGGGCGCTTGGATTTAAGATTTGCTTCTGCAAGGTGTCTGGAAATTGTTTGTGGAACAATTGCGACGCCTACGTCTGCTCGTATCGTTGAACGAGTCATGGGGGGTCCACAAGTGCTTGCCGCACGATCCTTCGATCCTCTCTCCTCTCGGTCTTCCTGGTCGCTCCAGACCCGGTTTTCCGCACGTGGGTACCTTCTCGTGTCCACTGCTCCCAACAATTTCTAACGGCACACTCCGTACGATCCACCTGGCCAGCAACACGGCACGTCGACCAGCCTGCAGTTTTCATCCCGATGATCAGACCTCTCTGAAACTCGCCTACCTATGAGAAATGTCTTCTAGCACGTTTACCTGGCGTGTTTCGCTTACCAAAATCTTCCTACAATCAGCGGGTAATCGTCACGTTTATGAATTTTCGAATTTGCGCTGGCTTATATAGCACCCTCTTCCTGATTGTAGTGCCACCTCGGCGTGTATGAGCATGCATATTGGCACAAAACTTGGATTATTTGCATATCACATTACGCTGTACTTATTTGCAAAGTTTCGCGATTGTACTTAGCTTCCTTCTTGGGTCACTATTTTCAATGTTCCTGATGTGTATATAAATTGAATCTGATAACATTTGAAGATATATATAAATATATATCTATAGGGAGAATGGGAACTAAAACAGTAGGAATTGAAAAAATTAGTTTCTCTTTCAGTTTATAGTTCTGAAAAACAAAACGAAAATGCATCCTCTTGCTCGAAGAGACACGGCAGACTCGATATCAGAGAATTTGAAGAAGGAAATAACGTCCTTTTCTCCTTTTCTTCTAATATCCTCAAATTTCCAAGGATTCTCTAAGGAGATACAAAGATAAAAAGAATAGGCATCTAAGTACGAATAGAAACAAAACGAAATTTTAAAAACAACAACCAAAACTCGCAATGAAAAAAAAGGAAAAAAACTTCCATCCAATAAATAAAAGAAGAAAAAAGAAAAGCGTGTGCAATCTGCTGGCTAGTGGGCGTCCGCGCACGAAGTGAAAGCACAGGAGAGGGAAAAGCACTGCGCTAAAGACCTGTTGAGATCTTCCCCAAGGTCAAGATGTGTCTAAAGGTAAAAAAAAAAAAAAAAGAGCCAGTATGAAGCAGGCATTTAAAATAAGTCGTGAATAAGCCAACATACACCTGTGGAGAAGCACCTATGTCATCCCCCCCACCTGGTTTCAGCCTTCTGGGGAGCGGACATATATTGTGTCATGAGTCGTTTTTATTGACAGACGATTTGAAGTAATTATTGCTTATGGGTGAAAGAAATAGCTGTAATACGAACAAATCGTTTAACCTGAAAATTATGAAATATGAGATGCACATGTTTATTTTGAAAATATATATTTTTTCTTTTGGTCAGTTTTGGACTCTTTTACAGATATAATGTTTCAAGTAACTATTTTATAAAAATAACGGCATTTTTTCCCAATTCCTACTATTATAGTTCACTCTCTCCCTATATATATATATATATATATATATATATCTTGTTCAAATTTTCAATCGTTAACAAAATCGTTTTATTCATCCACTCAAGTTCAAACACATTTTCTTAAACTTGTAGTGGACGAAACTTGATGTAAATACAATTTTTTCAAATATTAATTGATTAATTAAATTTAAAAAAATGAATAAATAGTAACAAACAAAAATAATAGTTCCACAGCATATATATAGAAAGGAAACCATTCGCTGGGTTTCTGTAGCGCAATTGCTAGCGCGTTGGACTTCTAATTCAAAGGTTGTGAGTTCGAATCCCACCTGAGATGGCCTAATTTCTGCAAATGTAATTTCTTTTTTACTGTACAATTTCGTTAGAATAATTAAATTAAATTAATGAATAAATAATAGCAAAAGAAAAAAACAGTCCAACACACCCTATACAGAAAGGAAAATGTAAAATTGCATGGAAAATTCCTTTTTGTTGTGCCGCTTAATATTGTGATTCTGTCATATGTATATGCATATTTATATGAAATGTAACTATTTAATAAAAAGTCACTAAAAAATTACATTTTTCTTTGTTGACTTAAGTAGAAATTGACTTAATTTTTTTTTTATATTACTTGTTATATTTCGTAACCCTTCGAAATAAATATACAACCGATTGAATCTACACGACCGTCACATGATCAGTACAATCACGTGTTCTCCATTGAATTCAAAACTGACATTAGACTCATCCTAAACTAAACTCAGAGGGGGTAACAATCCAAGAGGGCCAAGACCTACTGGCCCATCTCAGTTTTCATGACCTTGGGCAGTGAGAGGCATGAGCAGATGTTTTGGTCAGGTGGTCAGTTTGACGCGAAACACCCTGTGTTTAATTTCCAAGCAAGCTTGGTACTCATTTATCGACCCACAGAAGAAATGAAATCTTGCTTCATTGCCCAGAATGCCCAGCCCAAAGTTTGAACCCCGGACCCGTGGCGTGGAAGCGTGGTACGCTACCTCTTAGCCACTGGGCTTGTTTTACTAATAAATAATTTGGATAAAATTTCAAATTTGATTTATTTCAGAAAGATGTTGCGAAATTAATCCCATCACGCATACATTTTTTGAAAACCCGGCAAAATAAAAAAAAAAATTAGGAAAACAATTTTAGGGCTTTTTTTGGCAAAATTTTTTAAAAAATACAAAATTAATCAAATGTTTAAGTTTTACTGTGGGTTTTAATCCTCATCGCAGATAACGGGCAATCTTGCACGTACATTGATCTTTATAATCTTTCTTTTCGAAAAAACATATTTTTATCTGTTAAAGTATTTATTTATGATTTTTCAACAAAAATAATTTTTGTGTGTGATGTATTTGGAATCAAGGTGTACCACATAGACCAGGGATGGCGAACCATTGGCACGCGTGCCATTGATGGTACGTGGAACAATATTTTGGGCACGCCACCGATAAAAACAGTTTGCATTTTAGTTCAGAAACTATATTATTACAAGTAACCCCAAACTTGAAAAACAATTTCAAAGATTAAAATGTACATGAGAAATCAGACAAAGATATAGTTATTGAAGAATTTTTTTTCCATAATTGAGAGAGAGAGAGAGATTCTTCAATCAAGGAATTTTCAGTGAGATTTTCTCAGTCCAAAGAATTGTCAGAAACACTCAAGTTTATTATGTACCCTGATGTAACATTATTTGATAAACTGAACTAGCCCCATTTCGATTGGTTGGAAATTGCAGAATTTGAAATGCAACTTATTGATTTATAGTCTAGTTCAATATGAATTCAAAAATGTATTGAAACAAGGAAAAAGTTGGAATTGATTGATACTGAAAGATTAACAAGCAATATAAGTAATACACCTGCAACGAAATTTTGGAAACATGGAAACATGGCCATTGGAATTTTGAAAACATTTGGTCTCGTACTGTTTCAACTATATTTTCATCTACCTATGCCTGCGAGTAATTATTTTCAGAGATGAATAGCATAAGTTTTTTGTCATCTAATCTGCAACAACAGAAGTCACACTAACGCTACTTAAATTTCATTACACGCGTATAACTGAAACATTTACTACTATACTGTGCGCAAAATGTATTTTTTCGTACTAAATAAAGAATTTTCTGATGTTAATAAAGGGTGTTTTTTTTAGAGGTATAGAACTTTAAATTGCAATAAAACAACGATGTATTATTCGATTGACATGAACTTTTTTTATTCGAAAGATAATCTTGTGGCATTACATTTTAAATATGATTTCTGGCATAGGACGACTGCCACGGCTGGCTCGGATGTAGTCCAATCTGGACGTCCAATTTTCGATGACTTTTTCCAACATCTGTGGCCGTATATCGGCAATAACACGGTGAATGTTGTCTTCCAAATGGTCAAGCGTTTGTGGCTTATCCGCATAGACCAATGACTTTACATAGCTCCACAGAAAATAGTCTAGCGGTGTTAAATCACAAGATCTTGGAGGCCAATTCACAGGTCCAAAACGTGAAATTAGGCGGTCACCAAGCGTGTCTTTCAATAAATCGATTGTGGCACGAGCTGTGTGACATGTTGCGCCGTCTTGTTGGAACCACAGCTCCTGGACATCATGATTGTTCAATTCAGGAATGAAAAAGTTAGTAATCATGGCTCTATACCGATCACCATTGACTGTAACGTTGTGGCCTTCATCGTTTTTGAAGAAGGATTCCACCAGCCAATAAAGCGCACCAAACAGTCAGTTTTTCTGGATGTAACGGTGTTTCGACATACACTTGTGGATTAGCTTCACTCCAAATGCGGCAGTTTTGTTTGTTGGCGTAGCCATTCAACCAGAAGTGCGCTTCATCGCTAAACAAAATTCGCTTATGAAAATCGACCATTATTTTCGAAATAAAATTGCACAATTTGAAAGCGTTGTTCAGGCGTAAGTCTATTCATGATGAATTGCCAAACCAAACTGAGAATAAATCACTTGACGGCTGTTAAATCGGTCGCCATCTTGGAAAGTAATGCCAATTTAAACTTCTATACCTGGAAAAAAACACTCTGTATTTAGTTTTATTATTTTCCCAAAAATCACAAGTAAAAATTATTTGATTGCACGTTTATATCTGACTAAGCATTTCTTTAGGAAAAAAGGGCTCGTTGATTCATAAAGGTTCGCCACCCCTGACATAGACCAACATTGCAATTATTACACATATAACGACTCTTTCCTTTTTCTATTCTTTTTCCTTTTGCTATTCTTTTTCCTTTTTCTATTCTTTTTCCTTTTTCTATTCTTTTTCCTTTTGTTATTCTTTTTCCTTTTTCTATTCTTTTTCCTTTTTCTATTCTTTTTCCTTTTTCTATTATTTTTCCTTTTGCTATTCCTTTTAGCACAACGCAGTATTTTGTGGGAGTTTCTTCTTTTTTTTGGTGTTGGTGGAACAAAACTCCGAAAAGTGGTGTTCCGTTAGTCGTAGAATTCAAAAGATTTGGGTCTACCTGATTATTTATTTATTTATTTTGTATTTTTTTTGTATCAGTAAGATATATATATATATATATATATATATATATATATATATAATTTTGTATAAATCTTTCTACTAATTTGCGACTGAAATCTAATTTTGGTTCACCTCCAATTTTTTAAACAAAACACTTGTGTCCTAAATGCTGATGTCTAATGAAAAATCGTTAAAATATAAGGAACACAATGACTTTCATCTAAATTTACGAAATCACGATGATGCACTGCAGTCAGTCTCACGAATGCAGCATATAAGAGAAAATTACTACAGCATAACGTGTGGTGCCGCTCGAATTACCTCGAGTGTGCACAGTTTGGACTGTTTAGCGTGCTCGAATTAACTTGAGTGCAGACGTTAAGGAGTTAAGATACTTCAAAAAGTTTTTCAAAGTTAAAAAAATACTTATATTGTGCGCGTACTTTTAAATCAAGTGCATTTTTTTCCCATATGTGCATTATTGCTTACAAATATATATTTTTAAAAGAATTTGCAAAAAAAAAAAAATTGGCAATAGTGAAGCGCGCATTGAACTGATTGCATGGAAACACGTGATTGCATTTATCATGTGACCACGATGTCACATGTATTTAGCCCGTCACCCTCGGAATAATATAATAATTTTCTATCGATATAAATACGTTTTTGTTGTTACTAATGCCACCTGATTGGCAAAGGCGAGATGAAGGTCCACGAAATTCATCATTGCAAAGGGCTAAGTGACGCCTTTCGTTGGCCGTAGCTTAGCTTTGAGCACCCTGCAGGTAACAGTACGATTTGTCTTGATTACACCTCAATTTAGAGGGAGAACACTGTAGGGTGGTCAGAGGCCTCCTACCTCTCTTCCCCTTCCACCAACCACACGAGAGGACTTGCGGCTCCACGGCTATTTAGAGTACCCCCCTGCCGCGAATGCACTATACATTTACAAATATCCATGTGTTCTCGGGGATTCGAACCCAGTCCCTGCGGCACCGCAGTCAGCGTCGCTAACCACTATACCGGTTGGGTGACGATATAAATATGTTAGCTGTATAATGACAAAAAGCATTAATTGTACCTTTAATAAATATATGGTGTCCAATTAGTGAGGCAAACTGGAATTTTTCAAGGGTGGGGGGAGGGCGTCCAGGGTTGAAAGTCCACCATTCTCATATACCACAATATGCCGTCATATATATTCTTTTGATTTTGTCGACTGTCGGGAACAAAAAACAATAAAAAATAAATTATTGAATGGATAATTAACATTAATTAATATAATTAATTATATTAATAATAAATACTTAATAAAATTTTGCGTACCAAACACATTGGATAAAATCAATCGAAAAAAAAATTCTAGGACTACAGGGGAGGGGTACGGCCCCGGACCCCCAACCCCTTGAGTGCACCACTGAGTTCAACAAAACCTGTACTAGGCTAGCTTGAAAATTTTCGGCATTTCAGCTTTTCGCTTCTCTTTAGTTGACAGCTTGACTTTATCTTCATTAACTCTAAACCGCATCCCTAATTATGACCTCATGCTGAGAGCTCTTTATGTAGTTAATCTTTCCGGTGTTTACATCCAGTATCAAATTAGCACCACCTACTTTAACACATGCCGAGCAAGTTTTAAGATTAAATAATAGGATAATATTATTGAGACAATGGTAAAAAGTATCATCTTGCCTCAAATACTGAAATTTTATGTACAACAGCCCTTTAAGATATCCGACTACGTTCGGAACCGTGATTTTGCAGAGCGTATAAATGGATAATATTTATGATATTTAGTGTAACTTAGGTTAGAAAACGTA